AAGTAAATAAGTCTAGATTCATCAAATATCCTAACATGTCTTTTGTTTTCGTAAAACATAATTCCTCTTTTTAGGCCTTTGAATTGATACCCTATCCCTACGCTTTCGTACTTCATAGAAATCTCAGACAGAATCGACCAATGAAACAGGTTCATTAACAATTCACATCACGGATACAGAATGAAAAAAAAGAAAGCATTGGCTTCCCTCCCATATCTTGTGTCTATAATCTTTTTGCCCTGGTGGGTTTCTCTCTCATTTAATAAATGTCTAGAAACTTGGGTTATTAATTGGTGGAATACTAGGCAATCCGAAATCCCTTTGAATGATATTGAAGAGAAAAATGTTCTAGAAAAATTTATGGAATTAGAAGAACTATTCCTGTTGGACGAGATGATAAAGGAGTACTCGGAAACACATATGCAAAGGCTTCGTATAGGAATGCACAAGGAAACAATACAATTGGTCCAAAGACAAAATGAATCTCATTTCCATATCATTTTGCATTTCTCTACAAATCTAATCTGTTTCGCTATTCTAAGTGGTTATTTTTTTCTGGGTAATAAAGAACTTTTCATTTTAAATTCTTGGATTCAGGAATTTCTCTATAACTTAAGTGATACAATCAAAGCTTTTTCGATTCTTTTAGTTACTGATTTATGGATCGGATTTCACTCGACCCATGGTTGGGAACTAATGATTGGTTCGATCTACAATGATTTTGGATTGGCTCAGAATGATCAGATTATATCTGGTCTTGTTTCCACTTTTCCAGTGATTCTAGATACAATTGTGAAATATTGGATCTTCCATTTTTTAAATCGTGTATCTCCTTCGCTTGTAGTAATTTATCATTCAATGAATGAATAATTCATTAGATCTTTTGATATCAATAAAATCATAACCTTTCTTTGTGTAGAAAGAAAGTGTAGAAATAAATCATTTTTCATCTTACTTATTCTTTATACTTCTACCTTTTCAATTCAAGGTATTCATACTATATTCCACTAGTACAATTCTTTCAGTATAATCAATACAATGGCAAACTTGTGGATAGGGAATTCTACTAGCTACCTATCAAATTTATTGTATAAATTCCGGGGATCAATGATTGGACCATGCAAAATAGAAAGACTTTTTCTTGGGTAAAAGAACAGATGACTCGATCCATTTATGTATCGATCATGATATATGTAATAACTCGAGTATCTATTTCAAATGCATATCCCATTTTTGCGCAGCAGGTTTATGAAAATCCACGAGAAGCAACTGGTCGAATTGTATGTGCCAATTGCCATTTAGCTAATAAGCCCGTGGATATTGAAGTTCCGCAAGCTGTACTTCCTGATACTGTATTTGAAGCAGTTGTTCGAATTCCTTATGATATGCAACTGAAACAAGTTCTTGCTAATGGTAAAAAGGGGGCTTTGAATGTAGGAGCTGTTATTATTTTACCCGAGGGATTTGAATTAGCCCCACCCGATCGTATTTCTCCCGAAATGAAAGAAAAGATGGGCAATCTTTCTTTTCAGTTTTATCGTCCTAATAAAAGAAATATTCTTGTGATAGGTCCTGTTCCCGGTCAGAAATATAGTGAAATCGTCTTTCCTATTCTTTCCCCCGACCCTGCTACGAAAAAAGACGTTCATTTCTTAAAATATCCCATATATGTAGGTGGGAACAGAGGAAGGGGTCAGATTTATCCTGATGGTAACAAGAGTAACAATACAGTTTATAATGCTACATCTGCTGGTATAGTAAGCAGAATAGCACGTAAAGAAAAAGGGGGATATGAAATAACCATAGTTGATGCATCAGAAGGACGTCAAGTGGTTGATATTATACCTCCAGGACCAGAACTTCTTGTTTCAGAAGGTGAATCCATCAAGCTTGATCAACCATTAACAAGTAATCCAAATGTAGGAGGTTTTGGTCAGGGAGACACAGAAATAGTGCTTCAAGATCCATTACGAGTCCAAGGCCTTCTGTTCTTCTTGGCATCTGTTATTTTGGCACAAATCTTTTTGGTTCTGAAAAAGAAACAGTTTGAAAAGGTTCAGTTGTACGAAATGAATTTCTAGATCTAGAGATTCCTTAAAATAAAGTTGGTAAAAGTGCCAAATTCTTGTTGATTGATAGACTGATATATGATTCAAAAAATTCTATAAGTCTTTTCTTTGTTTTTTTTAGACTCTTTTACTCTTTTTTATTTTGCGGGATGTCTGAAACTTATTACTTGTATACCATTTATACCATTCCTAATTATACCATTTCTAATGATAGAAAATAAGTATACAAATACAAAGTACAAAGGAATAGAATACAAGGCAAGGACGGGAAAAAATAAAGTAAAAAAGATTTCTATTTATTTAGATTTATATTTATAGAAAGTATTATTATTCTTTTATTCTTAGTCTTTCTAATCGTTTATTCGATTTGATACAAGACGACACAAGAAAATCCTTTTCTTGTGTCGTCTTGTATCGGGATCATGATTTTTTCTTTTGTTTTCCAAAGATTCTTATTCCTTGTTTTATTTTCCGGGTCTAATTGAACAAATAGAACTTCTTAAACTCATTTCAACTTACAACTTAGGAAAATAACAAAAAAAGACTTCTCTTGTTTTGTGTTTTGTTTTGGCTGAAAAGCGGATTAGATCTTTACGCATATCCAATTATTTCTTTATTATCTCATTACAGTTTTTTTTTCTATTTCTTATTTGTTTGAATTTAGTCTAAATAGTTGAGTCTAAAAAGAAAATTATTTGCAGGATTTTTCATATGGATAAATCCATACGTATTAGATTATTCAAAAAATCGATGGATTCCTCCTTTCTTGTTGCTTCAATATTTAAAATATTGATATAATAGTGAATATTATGTTAGGAACGACAGAAACTATGAATCAGTCAATAGATTAAATTATTCAAAAACATTCTAATAAAAAAAAAGGAATACAATAAAGTGGTTTGAAATATCAGATCAAAGTCTCGCTCTAAGAGTTAAGAACTCAGCGGGGTAAGGCCCCGCTGAGTTCTTACTCTTTCATGTCTACAATCTAATCTGGTTCATATTATTATTACAGTATTACAGAGATGAACCCAACCCGGAATAGGAGCCGTAAAAAAAAATGCCTATTAAACCGATCACAAGAATACCAGTTAAAGTACCTATCAGCCAAAGAGGAATCCTTCCAGTAGTATCGGTCATCTCCCCCCTTCTTTTTCATCAAGTGGTCATGCTAAAGACAAAAACAGTCATGGATAATTATGAGGATAGTATCCTTCCGAATGGGATAAGAGAATTTCTACTATTTCTTTTTCTTAATTGAAAAAATAATTGGAAAATAAAACAGCAAGTACAAAAATGAGTAATAAACCCCAGTATAGACTGGTACGATTCAATTCAACATTTTGTTCATTCGGGTTTGATTGTGTCATAGCTCTATAATTCGAATTAGGTTTATCGTTGGATGAACTGCATTGCTGATATTGACCCTAAAAAAGAAACAGTAGGTACAGCCAGTCCGTGAACAGCCAACCATCGCACTGTAAAAATTGGATAAGTTCGATCTATGGTCATTGGGAACCTCCTAAAAAGAGTTACTAAATTTATCGAGTTGTTCCAAAGAATCAAAACGGCCAGTTATTAAAGGAATCCCTTGTCGGCTCTCTGTGAAATATTCATTTGGCCGAGGACTTCCAAAAACATCGTAAGCTAAACCCGTACTTACGAATAACCAACCCGCAATGAATAGGGAAGGTATAGTAATGCTATGAATGACCCAGTATCGAATACTAGTAATAATATCAGCAAAAGAACGTTCTCCCGTGCTTCCAGACATGCTGAGCTCCACAAATTCTTGTATGTTCAAAAAAAAGGCGGGCCGATTCCGTGAAAGATGGAATCAGTAAATCTAAAAATCTAAAACTACTGATACTGGATCTTTGTGAGATCGTCAATTTTGTACCAAAGGCATATTTAGAGTAGACCGAATCAGTATAGCTATCCTTCCTCTAGCGCAGCAACGCAGTTTCAATCATTACCGAAAGGAAATGCTATTGCTGTATCTTCCTTATATATGTATAAATTCTAAATAGATTTTGATTTTCCTTAGAATCTAAGATTCTATAAGATTAAATAAGGTTTATATTAGTGGATTCATCATAGTAATAGAAAGTAAAAGAAAGTAAAAATCTTGAATGGATGGGCTCTCATAATTAATGAGAGATATCATGATTGAAAGATCTCATTCATTATATTCATAAAATTCCATTATATGTTATGTGAAATCTATAAAAACCTTTGGCGGTTCGGTTCATATTTTCTTTTTTTGAATCCTCTCATTTTATTCAAGTAATTGTTCGTTCATAGAAGAAATATGTTAATACTATTTCACTTTGAACTTCTAAACTGAAGCTATTCTTACTATTCTAAATAGTAATTATTAGAAATGGAAATTCTTATTACTATCCCTATCTATTGAATTCTTTTACTATTTCATTTTTCATTGGTTAATATATTAGAATTAGATTTAATATTTTTTATTATTCTTTTATTCTTTTTTATATTTAGTATTTTGAATATTTGCAAAAAGAAAAAAAAATCGTTGGAACAATCCATATTCGTGAAGTAACTATTGTTACATTAGATCCCCCCAAGAGTTCTTTCCTTATGTAACTACAATACAAAACAAATTAATATGGAAAGAATAGAGAATTTCAAAAAGTAAAAGAGTAATAGGAGTTGCTCTTCTTTGAATCGAGTTGGCCCGAAATCAAATTTCAATAAAGAAAAAAAATCAAATGAAAATATTCACTATTTTCATTTGATTTTTTTTAGTGTCCGTCTATAATGACTGATGAATCAAGAATTTTCAATTGGAACTAAACAAATTTTTTAAATTAGTTTTTCTTACCGTCATATCTCGATTGAGACTTAGGTAAATGTTTTCTTAATAGAATATATGTAGTAAAATAACATATCTAATTTAGCTATTTCATGCCTATTCTAACTAGTTATTTTGGTTTTTTACTGGCTGCTTCAACTATAACCCCAGCTCTATTTATTGGTTTAAACAAGATACGACTTATTTGAAATGAATGAAATTCAATAAACAATTTACAAAAATCAAAATCAAAGTCTCTCATAATATTTCATTTCAGGTATTCTATGGTTCCTTCCGTGAATCTCAATTACCCATTTGAGATTCACGGATAATTCAGATTAATATTTAAGGATAGATCTTACCTCTCTTCTTATTCCCTAAAACAAATCGAAATGATTGAAGTTTTTCTATTCGGAATCGTCTTAGGTCTAATTCCTATTACTTTAACAGGATTATTTGTAACTGCATATTTACAATACAGGCGCGGTGATCAGTTGGACCTTTGATTGAGTAACATCTCTTTTTTTGATTGACCTCCTCCTTGTAGGAGGTCAATTTTAAGTTGCAATTCTACTTTGTTTTGTTAAGTTCTTTCATTGTAATTCGACATAAAATAAAAGGAATCACGCTCTGTAGGATTTGAACCTACGACATCGGGTTTTGGAGACCCGCGTTCTACCGAGCTGAACTAAGAGCGCTATCTTAGATCCTATAACAATAGATATATAAAAGTAGATACAATTGTAAAGAAAAGGATTTTTTTATCCCCGAAGTTTATTGTGTGTACATATAGTATGTAAAAATGAAAGATTATGTCCAAAATTGACTGATCTTACTCAAGGAATCTCTCAAAAGAATAGATAGGGATGACAGGATTTGAACCTGTGACATTTTGTACCCAAAACAAACGCGCTACCAAGCTGCGCTACATCCCTTTGAAAAATTGTTATACAGTGTGTCATTGTATAACATCCATATCTTTTTTTCCACATCCTTCTTTTTTGCTCTACCTATTCTATAGATATAGATAGGTAGAGAATGTTCTTGTCATTTTTTTTAGGGGCGGCAAAATTGAATCTGATGGGTCATTGTACATATGCATTTTAGTTAGTAATTCCTAATTCTAATTTAATTTCAAGTAACAACAAAAGATCTTGAAATTAAATTAAAATATCGGATTATCTATGATCTATTTATTAGAATAGCAAACTAGGACTATATATGTATTACAATATACAATTCTTACAATATACAATACAAAGAAAATAAATAAGAAAAAAATAGAAAATAAAAGAAGAAGGAGGATTTTCAATGCAAGATATAAAAACATATCTCTCAACGGCACCTGTGTTAACCACTTTATGGTTTGGGTCTTTAGCAGGTCTATTGATAGAAATTAATCGTTTATTTCCAGATGCCTTGTCATTCCCCTTTTTTTCATCCTGATGAAATTCTTGTATTGATAAAAAATGAAGAAGATTTTAGATACAATTCTACGTAACATGGCTCTAAATTCTTTTTCTTTTATATCCTAATCTATCCTAAAAAAAAAGAAAGAGTGTATTGAATCTCAGTCAAAATAAAGTGAAATTTTGGGAGAAAAGAAATGGAAATGTGGATCCAGTCTAGGGACGGTTCCACGAAATTCTAACATAGAAAGAAGAAAATACTAAGATTAGTATAGAAATGATTCATAGTTAGAAAAAATTGTATTAATTAATTATTACGATATTCTTAATATATTACGATATTCTTAATATTCTTCTATTAATGAATATGACTCTTTTTCTTTCTATTTATAGTATTCTAGTACTTCGAAGTCATTCGAATTCTAATAATTCAAAAAAGAAAAGAGTTAGAAATTCCATAGCGAACGAAGTCGATCCAAAATGAAAAGGAGGTTCATGGCCAAAGGTAAAGATATTAGAATTATAGTGATTTTGGAATGTACCTGTTGTGTTCGAAAGGGTGTCAATAAAGAATTGCTGGGCATTTCTAGATATATTACTCAAAAGAATCGACACAATACACCCAATCGACTAGAATTTAGAAAATTTTGTCGCTATTGTCAAAAGTATACGATTCATGGGGAAATAAAGAAATAGATAGAAAAGAATTCGTGTTTGATTTTTCCAAGTAGTGGGAAGAGTAAGAACTTTACATCTTAACATATATAATACAAACCAAATCCTATTTTGGTCGAATCTTAAATGAATAAGAAAAAAAGAGGATTCTATTTTATAGATTCTTTTATATCGAAGGAATAAACAAACAAGGAATAAGCAAACCATGGATAAATCCAAACAACCTTTTCGTAAATCCAAACGATCTTTTCGTAGGCGTTTACCTCCAATCGGATCGGGGGATCAAATCGATTATAGAAACATGAGTTTAATTAGTCGATTTCTTAGTGAACAAGGAAAAATCTTATCTAGACGGACGAATAGATTGACTTTGAAACAACAACGATTAATTACTATTGCTATAAAACAAGCTCGTATTTTATCTTTGTTACCTTTTCGTAATAATGAGAAACAATTGGAGAGAGTGGAGTCGATTCCTAGAACTACTGGTCCTAGAACCAAAAATAAATAGATATACTCTTCAAAACTCCAATCGGAACTCAAGCTCATATTAATGTTTTGCTCAAAAAAAAACTAGAATCCAGATTTGATTCTTGTATTCTAAAAAAGGAAAAAATGGGAAAGAAATCTTTTTTTCTTGAAAGATGTTCGTTTTTTCCTACTACTAAAATCTTAATTTATTTTTATTCTATCTTCCCGGAGTCCATTCTCCGGGAAATCCTGTTTCAATAATTCTTGTTTTCTGTATAATAGATTCTATTAAGATTCTTTTATTCCTTTATTTGATTTGTATTCTTTTCTTTTTAATTGATAATTTTATTTGAAATAATATCAAAACAATTCTTATTTGATAGGGCTATTTGCGCAAGTATTTTACGATTCAGAAGCAATTGTCTTTTGTACAGATTGTGGATAAAGAGGCTATAACTATAGAATAGCTTATCCTCACGAGTTACCGCATTTATTCGAGTGATCCACAAACGACGAAAATCTCTCTTTTTCCTGCTCCTATCTCGATGAGAGGAAATCAAAGCTCTCATTCTTTGTTGAGTAGTCGTTCGAGTCAGTCTTGAATGAGCCCCTATAAAGGTTGATGCAAATAAACGAATCTTTTTTCGACGTCTCCGAGCTGTATATCCTCGTTTAACTCTGGTCATTGAATCAAATGAAACTTTATTGAATAACTAATTGATTTCTCTTCTTTCAGTCATCCTTTTCTTCCGGTCGATTAATAACAAAACGGATTCTTCCAATATATAAAATATAAATTCCAATGGCTTTTGCGACTATGACCTTCCCGACCACGATTTTTTCTTTCTTCAAGGTATTTCGCCTGGAAATAATAAATTCGACTGCTACTAAAGAAGAAAGAATAGTGGGTTTCCTCGTTTCTATGGCAACTTCTGAAACGGTGAGGTCCTCTCTATACACCGGAGCCTCTTCTTTCATTTCATCAAAATTTCTTGTGAACTTGTATAGTTCACACTCTTTGGCTCTACCCATCCATTTTTAAATTAGAATTCTTTTTTCAATTCTAATTCTAAAGTAATAGTCCTTTTCACAAAAAAGCTATCCATACAGTGACGGTATTTAATTCTGAAAGTTGGCTAGGTAGCTGACCTTGTTAGTCCGTTTTTTTTTCAAGAAAAGGAATAGGAGCATAACCTTTTTCCTCCGCTTAATGGATAACTATTTGTTACCAATGGAGAATTCCTTCTCATCTCAAACGGAGTGATTGGATTTGCACCAATAGAAACCATAAATTCATAACATAATTAAGTAGATAATAGATCTTGATACTAGTCAATCAAAAGGCCGTGTTCCACCCTATCTATCCTAATTCATTGGTAGCGGTCGTTGATACCGGAAAAAATTTTTGCATTTCTTCAAACTCATGATCTGAACTTAACGAGTCGCACATACACCCTAGTACATGTTCCTCGACGCTGAGGACATCCTCGAAGAGCGGGAGATTTCGTGACATTTCTTATTGGCTGTCTTGCGTTTCTAATAAGTTGTTTAATGGTTGGCATGGTGTGTCTATAGAATCTCCTTCTAGATAGAATAGAGCGGGTTGGCTTAGATCGATCTTAACCTGATGATTGATGATTATGAATGATTTCTATTCACACCTAAATTTTGAATTTTTAAAAGGAATTCATATATTTATATGGAATTCCCTGTATTTTCATTTTCGATCGCGACAAGATCAACGATGCCATGAGCTTGAGCTTCTGTTGCTGACATAAAAACATCCCTTTCCATATCTTCGGATATAACCCATAAAGGGTTGCCCGTTCTTTGTACATAAACTTTTGTGAGAGTTTCGCGAAGCTTCAATAGTTCTTCTGCTTCCAGGATAAAATCCCTTGCTTGTGCCTCGTAAAAAGAACTAGCAGGTTGGTGAATCATAACCCTGATGATATTGATAGAACATCATGAATGGTTCTTCTATCTATATATCGCACGATTGGATGGATTAAAGTAAGGGGAATCAAAATAACAATAAAAAATAGAATTAAACAACCGTACAGGCATCTTTTGTACATTGCATACGGCTCTGCAATGGATTTTCTTTTTTTGATATAATTTCTTTTATCAAAAAGAAGAAATAGAACCTATATGATCCAAATCATTAAATGATCCATTTACCACCCTTCCTTTCGTAGTAGTTAAAAAGATACTATGATGGTTCTGTTGCTTTATATATTTATCTCGTTTGTGGTTTAGCAATCCCAAAGTTTCTTTTTGATAAGATCTAAGAAGGAAAAAATGATTTTTTCCTTTTTTTTATTATTTCCTCTCATAACATAAAAATAAGAAAGAGACTTCTGTTGTGGAAGAATAATGGTTTGTGACGCTGAAATTGACTCTTGCTTGACACAGAAAATCAAATTGGGAATAACCCTTCTTTCATACTACTATTTCGATACAAAATCTCATGTTATAAAAAAAAACAATAATGGTTTGTTCATATCGAACTCGAAGTGCCATGCTATTATTACTTATTCTTTATTTGATTCATATTCGATACAGCGAAGGCATAGTATTCTTTTTTTTTTTTATCAAATAAAAAAAACTCATTGGCGCCAAGCGTGAGGGAATGCTAGACGTTTGGTAATTTCTCCTCCGACCAGAATGAAAGATCCCATTGAAGCGGCTAATCCCATACATATTGTATGTACATCTGGTAACACAAATTGCATAGTATCATAAATGGCTATTCCTGGTATTACCCATCCACCTGGAGAATTTATAAACAAATAAAGATCCCTAGTATCATCTTCTATGCTGAGATATACCATGAGACCAACAATTTGATTCGAGATCTCGCTATCAACCTCTTGGCCTAAAAAAAGTAATCTTTCTCGATGAAGTCGGTTGATTAGGACAAAATTGTATCCCTGAGGAACCGTACGTGCACCTTTGGATGCATACGGTTCAAAAGAATTGTGAAAAAAAATCAATGTGTCGATTCCAATCCTATTTCTTTTTTTTAATGAGTTTTGCCCCCTTCCCCTTACCTCTATTCTATAATGTAGAAAATCAAAAAGAATTTTATGAACTTATTGAACTAACTTCTCATTGATGTATTGTTTCATCGAAATTCAAATTACGATGTAATTTTCTTGTTCCTGAATGGGCCCTTTCAATTCTTTTAGGTTCTTGTTCTACTCCGGGGGAAGAATTGCCCGAATTCCATTTGCGCATATAGGTCAAATGTTTCCAGTACCACTTCTTTTTTTTTTCAATTGTTTCATACCTTTCCCCAAAATATTTGATGTATTAATCATACTACTTCATTGGTAGGTAGTTTGATATTATCCCTATAGTAAAAAGAGTCTATTCTATATTATACAAGCGGTAATTGTGTAATCATAATCATCATATATTCTAATAATATATTCTATTCTAAGATTCTATTATCTTTCTATTATAGTAAGTTATATTATATTCATATTCTATTTAATTACTAATGAATCTCAAATTTATGAAGAATTTCATGAAATTTCTATTTTATCTTTCTTTATTATATTATTATTCTTTATTTCTTATTTCATTTATTTCTTTAATATTTATGATTTCTATTACTACATTTTACACTCCCATTATTACTCTTACCATTTCCAATTTGGTATTATATGAACGGAGCCTGGATACTTTATTTTATCAGTCCAAGTAAACCATCAATTATTTGAATTGATAATATTGATCCCCAATAGGAATTATTGTGCTTCACGCTCCAAATTATTGATGGTTCAATCAATAAAATATCCAATATATATTTATTGGATTGGGCGAAACAGAGAATACTCGATCGGGGGAGATAACGGGGAAATACCATATGACCAATATGTCTGACAAGTCGCACTATACGTCAACCCAAACTGCATCTTCCTCTCCAGGATTCCGAAAAGGCACTTTTGGAACACCAATGGGCATTAAGATAAATAAAAAAATGAAGTACTATACTTTACTTTAATATGAAAACGTAACAATGGTTTTATTGTCTTCATTATTTTTTCTCTTTATTTTCCATTTTTATATATTTTTATATTCTATAATATTCTATTCTATTCTTAATTTTATATTATAGATTTTTTATATTTTTTATATTCTATTATATATAGAATGTATAGTATAGAATATACAGGAGTAGAAGGTTCATAGAGGAAGACAGAATGAATAAATAAAAATTTTGATGAACGGGATCAATCGAATCAGCCAACTGTTCGAATGATTTCAAATTCGAAAAGAGTATCTATGCATTTTTTCCCTCAAAATCCTACCATTGCGTATTGGTATTTATCGGGTATAGAATATGATCTGTTTCTCTTTGTTCTTCTAAATAGAAAGAAATAGAATTGTTCTCTCCTCTCTCTATTTCAAATTCTTTCTATTCTATTTCATTAAAAATAAAAAAATAAAAGAAGGGAATACAAAGAAATAGTAATCCTTTCCTATACAAAATCTACCAAACAGGTGAAATACATGGTCTAGTCTTTTCCAATGCGATAAAGTTACATAATGTCTATTTCTTTTTCAGAAAGGGGTATTTACATGGGTTTGCCTTGGTATCGTGTTCATACTGTTGTATTGAATGATCCCGGTCGATTACTTTCTGTCCATATAATGCATACAGCTCTGGTTTCTGGTTGGGCCGGCTCGATGGCTCTATACGAATTAGCGGTTTTTGATCCCTCTGACCCTGTTCTTGATCCAATGTGGAGACAAGGCATGTTCGTTATACCCTTCATGACTCGTTTAGGAATAACCAATTCATGGGGGGGTTGGAGTATCTCGGGAGGAACTATAACGAATCCGGGCATTTGGAGTTATGAAGGCGTGGCAGGGGCACATATTTTGTTTTCTGGCTTGTGCTTCTTGGCAGCTATCTGGCATTGGGTGTATTGGGACCTAGAAATATTCTGTGATGAACGTACGGGAAAACCTTCTTTGGATTTGCCCAAGATTTTTGGAATTCATTTATTCCTCTCAGGAATCGCTTGCTTTGGCTTTGGTGCATTTCATGTAACAGGCTTATATGGTCCTGGAATATGGGTGTCTGATCCTTATGGACTAACTGGAAAAGTACAATCTGTAAATCCAGCATGGGGTGCGGAAGGTTTTGATCCTTTTGTTCCGGGGGGAATAGCTTCTCATCATATTGCAGCAGGTACATTGGGCATATTAGCGGGTCTATTCCATCTTAGTGTCCGTCCGCCTCAACGTCTATACAAAGGATTACGCATGGGTAATATTGAAACTGTCCTTTCCAGTAGTATTGCTGCTGTTTTTTTTGCAGCTTTCGTTGTTGCTGGAACTATGTGGTATGGTTCAGCAACTACCCCAATCGAATTATTTGGCCCCACTCGTTATCAGTGGGATCAGGGGTACTTCCAACAAGAAATCTATCGAAGAGTTGGGGCTGGACTAGCCGAAAATCTGAGCTTATCGGAAGCTTGGTCTAAAATTCCCGAAAAATTAGCTTTTTATGATTACATTGGTAATAATCCGGCGAAAGGAGGATTATTCAGAGCAGGTTCAATGGATAACGGAGATGGAATAGCTGTTGGGTGGTTAGGGCACCCCATATTTAGAGATAAAGAAGGGCACGAACTCTTTGTACGTCGTATGCCTACCTTTTTTGAAACATTTCCAGTAGTTTTGGTAGATGCAGACGGAATTGTGAGGGCTGATGTTCCTTTTAGAAGGGCAGAATCCAAGTATAGTGTTGAACAAGTAGGGGTAACTGTTGAATTTTATGGTGGCGAGCTCAATGGGGTCATTTATAGTGATCCTGCTACTGTGAAAAAATATGCTAGACGTGCCCAATTAGGTGAAATTTTTGAATTAGACCGGGCTACTTTGAAATCCGATGGTGTTTTTCGTAGCAGTCCAAGGGGTTGGTTCACTTTTGGGCATGCTACGTTCGCTTTGCTCTTCTTTTTCGGACATATTTGGCACGGCGCCAGAACCTTGTTCAGAGATGTTTTTGCCGGTATTGATCCAGATTTGGATGCTCAAGTGGAATTTGGAGCATTTCAAAAACTTGGAGATCCAACTACAAGGAGACAGGCAGTCTAATACAAAATTCCTTTACCATCTTTTGCCTCTATTTTTTTATTTTCTTCTAGTATTTAAATAGTATTTAAAGTATAGAAATTTAGATTTAGATTAGATTTCTATTTTATAATTTTCTATTATTTTCTATATTAATTTCATCTATTATCTATTTCATATTCAATATCTATTTCATATTCAATATTACTATCTATATTATCTATATATATCTATATATATATATACTATATTAATCTAATAGTAAATTAGTAATCTAATAGTAAATTAGTAAATCTAATTTTAGAATTTATTTAGTAAATGATCCAAAATGAATAGGTGTGGAAGCTATAATTGTAAACCACGATCGAATCTATGGAAGCATTGGTTTATACATTTCTTTTAGTTTCGACTTTAGGGATAATTTTTTTCGCTATCTTTTTTCGAGAACCACCTAAAGTTCCAACTAAAAAAACAAAATGATTTTTCATTATTTCCATTGAAGTAATGAGCCCCAATATGAATATCGGGGCTCATTACTTCAATTAGTCCCCATGTTCTTCGAAGGGATCTCTTAATTTTTGAGAGGGTTGCCCAAAAGCGGTATATAAGGCATACCCAGTAAAGCTTACAAGTAAACCGGATATGGAGATGGCGACTAGGGTTGCTGTTTCCATTTTTTCGATAATTTCAAGATCACGATAATGTCGTTTATTTACAACTACAACGGAATAGTATACAAAGTCAACAGATTTCAACCCATGATGAAAGAGGATTTATGGCTACAAAAACCATTGAGAGTAGTTCTAGATCTGGGCCAAGACGAACTGGCGTAGGGAGTTTATTGAAACCATTGAATTCGGAATATGGAAAAGTAGCTCCAGGGTGGGGGACTACACCACTTATGGGAGTTGCAATGGCTCTATTTGCAATATTTCTATCTATTATTTTAGAAATTTATAATTCATCTGTTTTACTGGATGGAATTTCAATTAATTAGGTTCATAAAAATTAGGAAATCCTAGTTTTTCAATCAAAAAGATTATTTTACTTATACTTACTTAATGCTTAAAATATTAAAATACTTAATAAAATACTTAAGAATTTAACTTAAGATTACTTAAGACTTGGATTTATAGACCATTCTGGTAGTTCGATCGTGAAATTTATTTGTTTCGATATTTCATTTCCGGAATATGAGCGTGTGACTTGTTATAATTGATCCTATTGATAATACAAAGAATGGATTTGTCATCTCTATCAAGATGATTCTACCGTCAGATATTTATTGTAGTCTCTGGAGCACGGACTATATAGAATAGATCAAGAAAAGAAATATTTGAACTATGATTCATACCTATTATTCAGACCTCGCAACCGGATTAAAAAAATGGAAAAAAGGTATTTTCTTTTTCTAAATCAAACAATTTTTTCTCCGAAAGAAACCTCTTTCTATAGATTTTGTTGAGTTATTACATTCATTGAAGAAATGATGATCAAATGGTTTTTACTCAGAAACCCTTTGAGTTTAGCTTTGGTTTTCTTAAATCATCGTGGTTCTAGTATGAATCTGAGGTTTCAATTGATTCATAGGGTCTCAACAAGAGAATTCCTATCAAAAAAAAGATAGGGAAGAGAAGATTCAAGAGGCCTGTCACGATTAACATAAAAAAAGATGGATGAGCCAACTTGAGATTTTATTTCTTGGTACTATCATCACAAAGAAGAGATTCCGGATTTTTCTTACTTCGTATCTTTGGGTCAAATCGAGTCAAGCGGCTAAACCACAAGAAGTTTGAAACTCTATATAAAATATTCCATATCCGTTGAAACTAGTATTTGTGGGTTTTGGCTTGAGCCGTACGAGATGAAATTCTCATATACGGCTCTCAGAGGGGGAGTCTTTCTTGGATTACCTATCTCAATAAAGTATATGATTGGTTCGAGGAACGTCTCGAGATTCAAGCGATTGCAGATGATATAACTAGTAAATATGTTCCTCCTCATGTCAACATATTTTATTGTCTAGGGGGGATTACGCTTACCTGTTTTTTAGTACAAGTAGCTACGGGTTTTGCTATGACCTTTTACTATCGTCCAACTGTTACAGAGGCTTTTTCTTCTGTTCAATACATAATGACTGAGGCCAACTTTGGTTGGTTAATTCGATCAGTTCATCGATGGTCAGCAAGTATGATGGTTCTAATGATGATCTTGCACGTATTTCGTGTGTATCTTACGGGTGGTTTTAAAAAACCTCGCGAATTAACTTGGGTTACCGGGGTGGTTCTGGCTGTATTGACCGCATCATTTGGCGTAACTGGTTATTCCTTGCCTTGGGACCAAATTGGCTATTGGGCAGTAAAAATTGTAACAGGTGTGCCTGAAGCTATTCCTATAATAGGATCACCTTTGGTAGAATTATTACGTGGAAGTGCTAGTGTGGGCCAGTCCACTTTGACTCGTTTTTATAGTTTACATACTTTTGTATTACCTCTTCTTACTGCCGTATTTATGTTAATGCACTTTCCAATGATACGTAAGCAAGGTATTTCGGGTCCTTTATAGAAAAGGTAGATCATAGATATTTGTAATTTATCATATCGGGGAGGGACAAGAGTCTTTCATTGCTACAAATATGGATTGTTTAAAAATAAAGCATGTTATTTGGATACTTCTATTCAACTCTGAAGTATTTTTTATTTGATACGAATAGAATAGTTGAAGTATATTTTCCTAAACAGAGGATGGATTATGGGAGTGTGTGACTTGAACTATTGATTGGCCCGTGCAGATATATGATTTTATCCGCCATGTTGAAATTCACAACCCAATGTGTCTCCGCATCCAACCATAACATCACGTCAATCCCTTTATATAGCATAGGATAATAGGATAGGCCGGTTCGCTTGAGGAGAATATTTTCTATGATCATACCCGAATCTTGTCATGCATGAAAAGTCTCCGTAAGATCCCTATAATAAGTGATGTGGAATGATCTAATGTTCTATTTATTCACTTTGTTTGATTTTTCTTTTTTTTAGTAATTTTTCTTAAAATTAATTTGATAGTCTAATTGGATAGTAATCTTAGTAAGTTTTTATAGTATGTAGATGCATTCATTTCCTCTGCATCAACCCTGATCTATGATACTATCGGAGTGAAAAAAGGGATCTAAGGAAGAACAGGGGCTAAGATTTTATTAGTAACAAGTAAAAATTTTGTATTTTTGTATGGAATACAATCAAGATATTGTGGGGATAAATACTAATCAAAAGACATGAGACAATCCAAAAAGCACTTGATCATGATCTAATTTGTAAGCTGACTTGGATATTGAGCATTTCTTTGTTGTGAGAACTGAATTCTTTGCAATGAATAATGAATCGTTGAAACTTGAGGAAATGTCATTTTAGAAATCTTTTCTTACATAGAATCATTCTACATTATCTATGTAGATATGTATGAAATATAGATCTTCTATGGTTCTATGGACCTATTTATGTTCTATGAATCTATTTCTGTGATTCTTTTGATTCTTGCTCGAGCCGGATGATAAAAAATTATCATGTCCGGTTCCTTTGGGGGATGGATCCACAAGAATTCACCTATCCAAATAACAAAGAAACCTGATTTGAATGATCCTGTATTAAGAGCTAAATTAGCTAAAGGGATGGGACATAATTATTATGGAGAACCTGCATGGCCCAATGATCTTTTATATATTTTTCCAGTAGTAATTCTAGGCACTATTGCATGTAATGTGGGCTTAGCAGTTCTAGAGCCGTCAATGATCGGTGAACCGGCGGATCCGTTTGCAACTCCGTTGGAAATATTACCCGAATGGTACTTCTTTCCCGTATTTCAAATACTTCGCACAGTACCCAATAAGTTATTGGGTGTTCTTTTAATGGTTTCAGTACCACTAGGATTATTGACAGTACCTTTTTTGGAGAATGTCAATAAATTCCAAAATCCATTTCGTCGTCCAGTAGCCACAACAGTCTTTTTGATCGGTACCGCAGTAGCTCTTTGGTTAGGGATTGGAGCAACTTTACCTATTGAGAAATCCTTAACTTTAGGTCTTTTTCAAATTGATTAAACCGTTAAATACCACAACATAGATATCTAAGGAAGATCCAGAAGGGGATCTTCCTTAGATACATCAATCTTTTTATGATCTATTCTGCAAATATATGGACTGTGTCGGAGATTCAAAACTTATTCTATTCTTTTTTCTTTCTAAAAAAGAAAAAATGAAAAGAATCCAATGGATTTAAATTTATAACTTTTTCTTAAGTAAATTTATTGCAAAATGCTTCTGTACAGTGCTCAATATCTGTTTTACATCTTCTGTGCGAAAATATTCCATTTTCATAAGATCTTCTTGACTGTGACTCAAAAGGTCCAATAATGTATGTATATTGGATCTTTTGAGATAATTATAGGTCCTGGAAGACAATTCTGATTGGTCAATAAAAATACATGTCAATGGAATTCCTTTTTTGTTTTTCTTGAGATTAGTAAATTTGTCTTGAAAGGAAAAAGGGGGTAGATTCCATCTGTTTTCATTTTCCTTGAAATTCATGTCCTCTTCCTCTGCATGTAGAAAAGGAATCAATAAATCAATCAAATTACGAGAAGCTTCATAAAGTGCTTCTTTAGGAGTTAAACTTCCATTCGTCCATATTTCTATAAAGAGTATCTCTTGTTTTTCATTCCCATTCCCATAAGAATGAATACTATGATTCGCATTTCGAACAGGCATAGATACAATATCTATAGGATAACTTCCATCGTGAGAGTCATTTGTGGATTTCATACGATATCCGCGATCTCTCTTAATTTGTAATTCAATACACAAATTAATTGGTTCTGTCAGGTTAGCTATATGCTGTGTCGTGTCAACTATTTCTACAGAAGGTGGTGAGATGATATCTTGAGCTGTTATGTATTTGGGACCCCTGACGCAAATGGATGCGTTCCTAACTCCATAAAGATTACTTCTCAATACAATATCTTTCAAATTGAGTAAAATCTCATGTACTGATTCTTCAATACCTGCTATCGTAGAATATTCATGCAGCACATTTTCAGATGTTGCACGTGTGATACATGTTCCTTCTATTTCTCCAAGTAAAGCCCTTCGTATGGCAATACCTATGGTATCGGCTTGACCTTTCATAAGCGGGGACAGAACGAAACGACCATAATAAAGACGCTTGCTGTCTACTCTTGATTCAACACATTTCCACTGTAGTGTTCGAGTGGATCCTACTACGTCTTCTCGAACCATACTATTATTTTTCTTTTATTTAGAATTATTGGATCAGAATCATTGAATCATTTATTTCTCTTGGAATCTATTGAATTCTTATTTCTACACACGTCTTTTTTTAGGGGGGCGACATCCATTATGCGGCATGGGTGTTACATCACGTACGAAACTTAATAGTATCCCATTTCTACGAATAGCTCGTAATGCCGCATCTCTTCCGAGACCTGGACCTTTTATCATAACTTCTGCTCGTTGCATACCCTGATCAACTAATGTACGAATAGCATTAAATGCTGCAGCTTGAGCAGCATAGGGTGTTCCTTTTCTTGTGCCTCTGAATCCAGAAGTACCTGCGGAAGCCCAAGAAACCACCCGACCTCGTACGTCTGTAACAGTTACAATAGTATTATTGAAACTCGCTTGAACATGAATAACTCCTTTTGGTATTCTACGTTCATTCTTATTTGAACCAATACGTGCATTCTTACGTAAACTAATTTTTGCTATAGGTTTTGTCATATTTTATTAGATTATATTTATAATTTATAAGAATAAAATAAAAAGAAAAATGAATCATAAATCTACAGAAAGAGACGGAGATATCCATTTCATATGAAAACGAATCCTTTCTTATTTATTTTTACATGTACATGGGTTTTCTTTTCAAAAGAAAAATGAAAAAGTTCTTTACCCCTGTCTCTGTTTATGTCTCGGATTGGAACAAATAACTATAATTCGCCCCCGCCTACGAATCAAGCGACATTTTTCACAAATTTTACGAACAGAAGCCCTTATCTTCATATTTATCATTCCTTACTTTCATTCTAAATCAATTTTTTTTTAAACAAAAATCAGTTTATTGCATTTTTGAACTTTGAATTATATCTCTACGAAAAGAATGTTTAAAAGAATGATCTAATCGTTCGAATCTTTTTTGCGAAGTCTATAAATTATACGTCCCCTGGTTGAATCATAACGACTCATTTCAATTTTGACTCTATCTCCGGGTAGTATACGTATAAAACTGCGACGGATTCTCCCTGAAATATAACCTAGAATTAGATCTTCATTATCTAATCGAACTCGGAACATACCGTTGGGTAGTGATTCAGTAATTAAACCCTCATGAATCAATTTCTGTTCTTTCATTCCAGGGAACCCCCTTTAAGTATTAACTAATAGAGGAAGAGTTCTATAATTCACTTCCCCTCTCGATTTTACAAATAGTAAGTTCGAGATAAATTTAGGGTATCCTAGGAGAATTACCATATATAACACAAAATTTCTCCTCCAATTTTTTCTAATCGAGCTTCTCGATCTGTTATTATACCTCGAGAAGTAGAAAGGATTACAATTCCCATTCCACCTAAAATCTTAGGAATTTGTTTATAGTTGGAATATATTCGTAGACCAGGTCGGCTGATACGCTTTAAATTGATTTTATTACCTTTCCTAGTCTTTCTATGTCGTAAGGTTAAAACCAAGAAATTTTTTTGACTTTCTTGATGTTTTCGAACGTTTTCAATAAAACCTTCTCGTAAAAGTATTTTCACAATGTTTTTAGTGATATTAGTAGATACTATTTTAACTCTTCCCTTTTGATCTATGTCAGCATTTCTTATAGAAGTTATTATATCGGCAATAATGTCCCTACCCATGATGAACTATAGTTATCGGTGCCCCCTAATTTTGATATAGTCAACATGCTTCTTTTTTGTTTTATTTTTTGTTGAATTCTTTTTTTTTTAATTATTATAGATTCTCAAAAATTATTAGAAATTTCAAATATATACATGAGACACACACAATCTATTAATCGGATCTATTTCAGATATTCTAATATTCTATTCTATATATAGATAGAAAGATAGGATATATCCTATTTTCATCTATAAGACTTCGGGTGCTAATGAAACGATTTTAGTAAAATTCAACTGTCGCAATTCTCGAGCAATTGCACCAAAAATTCGAGTTCCTTTTGGATTTCCTTCTTGATCAATGATAACCGCTGCATTGTCATCATATCGTATTATCAGGCCGTTGTCACGTTTGAGTTCTTTACATGTGCGTACAATCACAGCTCTAATTATTTCTGATCTTTCTAGAGGCATGTTGGGCACTGCTTCTTTGATTACAGCAACAATAACATTGCCAAGATGAGCATATCGGTGATTACCAGTTCCTATGATTCGAATACACATTAATTTTTGAGCTCCACTGTTATCCGCTACATTCAAAAGGGTCTGAGGTTGAATCATATCATTTTTATTTTAATCTCTTATTTCAAGATAATGGAAAAAAGAAATATTGTCTGTCCAGAGATAAATAAATCCGTGGTTTTTTTATTCTTAATACTCCTTTTCTTCTTTTACTTTTGTTTACCTATCCTGAAATAACAAATTGAGTTCGTATAGGCATTTTGCATGCAGCTATTTCCATAGCAGCTTTGGCTACAGCTTCAGATACTCCACTCATTTCATAAATTATTCGGCCCGGTTTAACAACGGATACCCAATATTCGGGGGATCCTTTGCCGGAACCCATACGTGTTTCTGTAGGTCTTACAGTAACAGGTTTGTCGGGAAAGATACGTACCCATATCTTTCCACCACGACGTGCATATCGTGTCATTGCTCTTCGCCCTGCTTCTATTTGTCTAGCTGTGATCCAAGCAGGTTCAAGTGCCTGAATAGCGTATCTGCCAAAACAAATATGATTGCCTCGGCAAGATATTCCCTTCATTCTACCTCTATGTTGTTTACGAAATCTGGTTCTTTTAGGGTTATAGTTGATGGTTGTTTCTGAATTCCATCTCTACTGCAGAGCCGGACATGAGAATTTATTCTCATCCAGCTCCTCGCGAATTAAATGATTCAATAAAATTAATATTATATAGAAATATGTATTTTATTCTATCAAAAGACAAAAGAAAGAATATACTAAATACTAATTTTTTTATATTTAATTTGTTACATAGGTAGGCTGTATATATAACTTATATAACTAGATAACTAGGCGTGTTTTTTTCTATTTTTATATTCTATTTTTCTATTTTTATATTCTATTTTTATATTATATATATAAAGAAAAATAATGCTTCTTTCTTTTAGCAAAATCTCTAAAGTATTTTTCTTTACCTCTATTGAATCACGCCAATAGTCATCCAATAAATGAAATTCTTAAATGAAATAAAAATAAAGAAAGGTTTCGCGGGCAGATATTAACTCTTTCCTCCTTCATTTGTAGGGTCAATTCATGACCATTCAGAAGAAATCCATTTTTTTCTTGGTTCATTCCGCCATCCTACCCAATGAATCCTTAGGATTGATTCGTTTTCAAGAAAATCCTATGTAATCACAGGTTCCATCGTTCCCATAACTTCTCTATTAATACTTAGGCCTGAACTCTGCAATGGAGCTCTCAACAGAATCTGTTATTTGTTTCCGAGTCAATCTCCTCAGTTTTTCTTAACCCGAAGCTCAATTAAATTTTTCTCTATTTTCTATTATTTAGATTCTTTATTTTTCTATCTTAATTACATACTTACATATATAATAGACTATATTATCCATATTGATTAGATTCTTTATATTATTATTTTATTATATTTTTATTGTATATTGTTTTATTGTATATTAATGTTGATGCTTTATAACACTGCCTTTTTTATGGGTTAATTCTTGATAAACCATACATATGGGAATCATATATCATTTCATATCATTTAGATCTTTATTCTCTCTTTCTATCACCTTTCCTTTTTCCACATCCCTTTTTTTTCACAATTCATAATCAGATTTCTTTTTTATGAAAAGGATTTCAGTTGCTACAACTATATGGTTGATTCAGTCATATAGTGACTGTTTCTTGGGATCTCGACAATACGAAGCAATAAGTTGGTTATGAGTTTTGAGTTTCTTTAGTTTTGATAGTTATTAAGTTTATAGTGTGGTCAGCCTATTTTTCTTTTCAGTTTCAATTCTCAATTCTAAAGAAAAAACTAACGAGTCACACACTGAGCATAGCAATTTTACTAAAATTTAAATTTAATTTAAATAAAGGGTAAACCAAATTTTTATTCAACCTTATAGAATTAGAATTGTTTGTTTTTCTTTGATTAAGAAAAAAAATAAGAAAATATTTTCTAAATTTTTTCTATTGATGAGCAGAATGACGAGATAAAGAAAGTTCCATTATTCTTATTTTCTTATTCTTGGTTTACAAATATCCAAATTTTGATACCTAAGATTCCATAGATAGTTCTAACTGTATGGGAACAGTGATCAATTTTAGCGCGAATTGTTTGTAGGGGAACCCTGCCTTCTCTGATCCATTCGACACGTGCAATCTCTTTTCCGTCGATACGTCCTGCAATTTGCACTTGAATTCCTTTTGTACCGGTTTGTTCAGTTAATTCAATAGCTTTTTTCATTGCCTTTCGAAATGAGACTCTATTTTTTAATTGTAAAGCTATATATTCTGCGAGAATATTAGGTTGTCCGTAAGGTTTTTCAATTCTTGTGATAGCAATGTTGAGTCTCCGGTTTACAGAATGAAACTCTTTTTGTACATTCATCTGTAATTCTTCGACTCCCCGTGTTCGTCCTTCTATTAATAAATTGGGAAATCCAATATAGATTATGACCTGAATCAAATCTATTCTTTTTTGAATTCCTATATAAGCAATTCCTTCGAAACCTGAGGATATTTTCTTATTTTTTTTTACATAGTCCTTAATACAATTCCGTATTCTTTCATCTTCTTGTAGACCCATGGAAAAATTTTTTGGTTTTGCGAACCAAAAAGAATGATGACTTTGAGTTGTTCCAAGTCTGAAACCAAGTGGATTTATTTTTTGTCCCATATTATTTCTAGTATTTTTCCATCCATTTTTTTTCTAAATAGGAATCTAAATCTTATATTTTTCTTTTAAAAAAATCTTTATATGACAAGTGGTTTTTTTTATCAGATAACTACGTCCTCGAGCCCGGGGTTTTAACTTTTTCATAATAGTACCTCTATTGACTTCAGCTTTACTAATAAATAAGTCAACTTCATTCAAACCCATATTATGACTAGCATTTGCTGCTGCAGAATAAACTAATTTTAAGATTGGATAAGATGCCCTATAAGGCATTAGTTCTAGTATCATGAGTGCTTCTTCATAAGAACGTCCACGAATCTGATCAATTACTCTTCGTGCTTTGAAAACAGACATACATATATTTTGAGCTAAAACTTTTGCTTCTCTATTTTCGTTCTTTATCATAAAAGTTTTCCCCCGCCAATGAATGAAATGAATGATAAGTGCCTAGGTGAAGTATAGTATAAGATAAGTCAGAAAAGTCTAAGTCTTATTAGTATACTCTAAAAAGAAAATAAATATACCTATACTCTTACTATAAGATAAAAGAGAAAGACTCTTAAGTCTAAATACTATTAAATACTATTAAACTATTAAGATAAGGCTTTTCTTTTCATATGAATACTTAGTAGAACGACTAACGACGAGATTTCTTATCGTTTCTCGCGTGTCTCACGAAAGTGAGAGTAGGTGCGAATTCTCCCAATTTGTGACCGACCATACGATCTGTGATATAAATAGGTAAATGTTCCTTTCCATTATGAATAGCGATTGTATGGCCAATCATTGTGGGTATAATGGTAGATGCCCGAGACCAAGTCACTATGATTTCTTTCTCCTCCCTCCTGTTGAGTTTTTCAATTCTTCCCAATAAATGATTAGCTACAAAAGGATTTTTTTTTAGTGAACGTGTCACGGCTGATTACTCCTTTTTTTACATTTTTTAAATTGGCATTCTATGTCCAATATCTCGATCTTAATCTGAAGTCTAATGATGAATGGAAAAAAGAGAAAATCCTTTAGCTAGATAAGGGAAGGGGCGGATGTAGCCAAGTGGATCAAGGCAGTGGATTGTGAATCCACCATGCGCGGGTTCAATTCCCGTCGTTCGCCCATCACATTATTTCCAATTCCAAAGATTCGATTTTCAATGTTCCTATTTACGGCGACGAAGAATAAAACTATCACTATATTTGTTCCTTTTCCTGCTTCTTCTTCCAAGCGCAGGATAACCCCAAGGGGTTGTGGGTTTTTTTCTACCAATTGGGGCTCTCCCTTCACCGCCCCCATGGGGATGGTCTACAGGGTTCATAACTACTCCTCTTACTACAGGACGCTTACCTAGCCAACACTTAGATCCGGCTCTACCCAAACTTTTTTGGTTCACCCCAACATTACCCACTTGTCCGACTGTTGCTAAGCAGTTTTTGGATATCAAACGGACCTCCCCAGATGGTAATCTTAATGTGGCCGATTTACCCTCTTTTGCAATCAGTTTCGCTACAGCGCCTGCTGCTCTAGCTAATTGTCCACCTTTTCCAAGTGTGATTTCTATGTTATGTATGGCCGTGCCTAAGGGCATATCGGTTGAAGTAGATTCTTCTTTTTTATCAATCAAAACCCCTTCCCAAACTGTACAAGCTTCTTCCAAAGCATACGGCTTTCTAGATGTATATGATGATATCTAGACAGATGGATCTTATATGAATCGTATGATGAAGTACCACGTGAGTGGATATATAGGAATCCAAATCTGCCGAATCACTCATGTTATGATCTTCTACATCCTAGGTCTCCCCGTTCCGTCATCTGGCTTATGTTCTTCATGTAGCATTCAGACCGGATGACTCTATGAAATTACGTCGATACTTCCACATATTACGGGTAACGTAGGAGACATCTCTATTTTTCCCCGGAGGGTCTTTCTAATTACCACTGCTTAACTTTCAATTCGCCTCTGACCATCAAATGAAATGTGAATAACCCGTCCTCCTCTCTTTGAAACAAGGGGCGCTTCCGGTTCTGTGCGCGCTTCAAACAATTTTGTCTTCTCCATATTACCATATCTCTAGAGTCAATAATTTTCTATGAGGAACTACTGAACTCAATCACTTGCTGCCGTTACTCAACAGTTTTCTGTTGAGGTCTATCCCGTAGAGGTACTCCAATTGGATCAGTGATCGATTTCTAGGTTTCGTCGTAAACCTAATTGGTTACTTCCAATTACGTAAATCAATAGTTCAAACCGCACTCAAAGGTAGGGCATTTCCCATTGATATAGGAACTTCTGTACCAGAAACAATGGTATCTCCAATTATAGCCCCTCTGGGATGTAAAATATATCTCTTCTCACCATCCCCATAGTGTATGAGACAAATGTATGCATTTCGATTAGGGTCATATTCTATGGTTACGATTCTACCAGATATCTCTTTTTCATTCCGTCGAAAGTCGATTTTACGGTATAGACGCTTATGACCTCCCCCTCTATGCCCTGCGGTAATGATCCCTCTGGCATTACGACCTTTACCACAACGATGCTGTCCATAGATCAAATTATTTCGTGGATTGGATTTCACTTGACTGTCTACGGCTCCATTGCGTGTGCTCGAGGTAGAAGTTTTGTATAAATGTATTGCCGTGTTATTAAGTATTTTGCTTTAAGTTCTTTTCTCTATAAGAGGTGGAATAGAATAACCCGGTTGAAGCGTAATGATCATACGTCTGTAATGCATTGTATGTCCCATAATAGGTCCCATCCTTCTACCCTTTCCCGGGAGTCGATGACTATTCATAGCTATTACCTTGACACCAAAGAAGAGTTCGACCCAATGCTTTATTTCTGTCCTAGTTGATCCTGATTCGACATTAGAAGTATATTGATTGTTCCCCAATAACCGAATACTTTTTTCTGTAAATACTGCATATTTGATTCCATCCATAAATCCATTTTCTTCCCTATGAGTTCCAGTATCGATAAGAATTATAGTTCTTACTGTTCATATGTTATGGTATGAATATACCATACCAATTCGCTATGTATGGATGATGAGATTCCATTGATACAGAGTCAATTCCAATAGACTTATTTAATGTTCCCATTGGCGTGCATCCAGCAGGAATTGAACCTACGAATTTGCCAATTATGAGTTGGGCGCTTTAACCATTCAGCCATGGATGCTTAACAGGGATCATCGTACATCGTGAATAACCAAATTCCAATTGAAATGAAATCTTTAGGAGGAATCAATGAAACGACATCAATTCAAATCCTGGATATTCGAATTGAGAGAGATATTGAGAGAGATCAAGAATTCTCACTATTTCTTAGATTCCTGGATCAAATTCGATTCAGTGGGATCTTTCACTCACATTTTTTTCCACCAAGAACGTTTTATGAAACTCTTTGACCCCCGAATTTGGAGTATCCTACTTTCACGTGATTCACAGGGTGCAACAAGCAATCGATATTTCACGATCAAAGGTTTAGTACTGCTTGTAGTAGTGGTCCTTCTATCTCGTATTAACAATCGAAAGATGGTCGAAAGAAAAAATCTCTATTTGATGGGGCTTCTTCCTATACCTATGAATTCCATTGGACCCAGAAAGGAGACATTGGAAGAATCTTTTTGGTCTTCCAATAGAAATAGGTTGATTGTTTCGCTCCTGTATCTTCCAAAAGGGAAAAAGATTTCTGAGAGTTGTTTCATGGATCCGCAAGAGAGTACTTGGGTTATCCCAATAAAGAAAAAGCGTATCATGCCTGAATCTAACCGGGTTTCGCGGTGGTGGAGGAACCGGATCGGAAAAAAGAGGGATTCTAGTTGTCAGATATCTAATGAAACCGTAGCTGGAATTGAGATCTCATTCAAAGAGAAAGATAGCAAATATCTGGAGTTTCTTTTTTTATCCTATACGGATGATCCGATCCGCAAGGACCATGATTGGGAATTGTTTGATCGTCTTTCTCCGAGGAAGAAACGAAACATAATCAACTTGAATTCGGGACAGCTATTCGAAATCTTAGGGAAAGACTTGATTTGTTATCTCATGTCTGCTTTTCGTGAAAAAAGACCAATTCAGGGGGAGAGTTTCTTCAAACAACAAGGAGCTGGGGCAACTATGCAATCCAATGATATTGAGCATGTTTCTCATCTCTTCTCGAGAAACAAGTGGGGTCTTTCTTTGCAAAATTGTGCTCAATTTCATATGTGGCAATTCCGCCAAGATCTCTTCGTTAGTTGGGGGAAGAATCAGCACGAATCGGATTTTTTGAGGAACGTCTCGAGAGAGAATTGGATTTGGTTAGACAATGTGTGGTTGGTAAACAAGGATCGGTTTTTTAGCAAGGTACGGAATGTATTGTCAAATATTCAATATGATTCCACAAGATCTATTTTCGTTCAAGTAACGGATTCTAGCCAATGGAAAGGATCTTCTTCTGATCAATCCAGAGATCATTTCGATTCCGTTAGAAATGAGAATTCAGAATATCACACATTGATCGATCAAACAGAGATTCAGCAACTAAAAGAGAGATCGATTCTTTGGGATCCTTCCTTTCTTCAAACGGAACGAACAGAGATAGAATCAGATCGATTCCCGAAATGCCTTTTTGGATCTTCCTCCATGTCCTGGCTATTCACAGAACCTGAGAAGCGGATGAATAATCATCTGCTTCCGGAAGAAATCGAAGAATTTCTTGGAAATCCTACAAGATCAATTCGTTCTTTTTTCTCTGACAGATGGTCAGAACTTCATCTGGGTTCGAATCCTACTGAGAGGTCCACTAGAGATCATAAATTGTTGAAGAAAAAACAAGATGTTTCTTTTGTCCCTTCCAGGCGAGCGGAAAAGAAAGAAATGGTTGATATATTCAAGATAATTACGTATTTACAAGATACCGTCTCAATTCATCCTTCGGAACCATATCACATCCCGGATCTGGTTCCGAAGGATGAACCGGATATGGACAGTTCCAATAAGATTTCATTCTTGAACAAAAATCCATTTTTTGATTTCTTTCATCTATTCCATGACCGGAACAAAGGGGGATACGCGTTACGCCACGATTTTTTTGAATCAGAAGAGAGATTCCCAGAAATGGCGGATCTATTCACTCTATCAATAACCGAGCCGGATCTGGTGTTTCATAGGGGATTTGCCCTTTCTATTGATTCCTACGGGTTGGATCAAAAAAGATTCTTGAATGAGGTATTCAACTCCAGAGATGAATCGAAAAAGAAATTGGTTCTACCTCCTCTTTTTTATGAGGAGAATGAATCTTTTTCTCGAAGGATCAGAAAAAAATCGGTCCGGATCTACTGCGGGAATGAGTTGGAAGATCCCAAACTAAAAACAGCGGTATTTGCTAGCAACAACATAATGGAGGCAGTCAATCAATATAGATTGATCCGAAATCTCCAATATTATGGGTACATAAGAAATGTATCGAATCGATTCTTTTTAATGAATAGATCCGATCGCAACTTCGAATATGGAATTCAAAGGGATCAAATAGGAAATGATACTCTGAATCATATAACTATAATGAAATATACGATCAACCAACATTTATCGAATTTGAAAAAGAGTCAGAAGAAATGGTTTGATCCTCTTATTTCTCGAACTGAGAGATCCATGAATCAGGATCCTGATGCATATAGATACAAATGGTCCGATGGGAGCAAGAATTTCCAGGAACATTTGGAACATTTCGTTTCTGAACAGAAGAATCCTTTTCAAGTAGTGCAAGTAGTGTTCGATCAATTACGTATTCATCAATATTCGATTGATTGGTCCGAGGTTATCGACAAAGAAGATTTGTCTAAGTCACTTCGTTTCTTTTTGTCCAAGTCACTTCTCTTTTTGTCCAAGTCACTTCTCTTTTTGTCCAAGTCACTTCGTTTCTTTTTGTCCAAGTCACTTCCCTTTTTCTTTGTGAGTATCGGGAATATCCCCATTCATAGGTCCGAGATCCGCATCTATGAAATGAAAGGTCCGAATGATCAACTCTGCAATCAGTTGTTAGAATCCATAGGTGTTCAAATCGTTCATTTGAAGAAATTGAAACCCTTCTTATTGGATGATCATGATACTTCCCAAAGACCAAAATTCTTGATCAATGGAGGAACAATATTACCATTTTTGTTCAAAAAGATACCAAAGCGGGTGATTGACTCATTCCATACTAGAAAGAATCGCAGGAAATCCTTTGATAACACGGATTCCTATTTCTCAATGATATCCCACGATCGAGACAATTGGCTGAATCCCGTGAAACCATTTCATAGAAGTTCATTGATATCTTCTTTTTATAAAGCAAATCGACTTCGATTCTTGAATGATCCACATCACTTCTGGTTCTATTGTAACAAAAGATTCCCCTTTGATGTGGAAAAGACCCGTATCAATAATTATGATCTTACATATGGACAATTCCTCAATATCTTGTCCATTCGCAACAAAATCTTTTCTTTGTGCGTCGGTAAAAAAGGATCTCTTTTTTTGGAGAGAGAGACTCTTTCACCAATCGAGTCACAGGTATCTGACATCTTCATACCTAACGATTTCCCACAAAGTGGTGATGAAACGTATAACTTGTACAAATTGTACAAATCTTTCCATTTTCCAATTCGATCCGATCCATTCGTTCGTGGAGCTATTTACTCGATCGCAGACATTTCTGCAACACCTCTAACAGAGGAACAAATAGTCAATTTGGAAAAAACTTATTGTCAGCCTCTTTCAGATATGAATCTATCTGATTCAGAAGGGAATAACTTACATCAGTATCTCAGTTTCAATTCAAACATGGGTTTGATTCACACTCCATGTTCTGAGAAGTATTTACCATCCGGAAAGAGGAAAAAACGGAGTCTTTGTCTAAAGAAATGCGTTGAGAAAGGGCAGATGTATAGAACCTTTCAACGAGATAGTGCTTTTTCAAATCTCTCAAAATGGAATCTGTTCCAAACATATATGCCATGGTTCCTTACTTCGACAGGGTGCAAATATCTCAATTTCACCCTTTTAGATACTCTTTCAGACCCATTGCCGATACTGAGTAGTAGTCAAAAATTTGTATCCATTTTTCATGATATGATGCATGGATCAGATATATCATGGCCAATTCCTCAGAAGATTCTTCCACAATGGACTCTGATAAGTGAGATTTCGAGTCAATGTTTACAGAATCTTCTTCTGTCCGAAGAAATGATTCATCGAAATAATGAGTCACCCGTTCCATTGATATGGGCACATCTGAGATCAACAAATGCTCGGGAGTTCCTCTATTCCATCTTTTTCCTTCTTCTTGTTGCTGGATATCTCGTTCGTATACATCTTCTCTTTGTTTCCCGAGCCTCTAGTGAGTTACAGACAGAGTTAGAAAAGATCAAATCTTTGATGATTCCATCATACATGATGGAATTTCGAAAACTTCTGGATAGGTATCCTACATCTGAACTGAATCCTTTCTGGTTAAAGAATCTCTTTCTAGTTGTTCTGGAACAATTAGGAGATTCTCTGGAAGAAATACGGGGTTCTGCTTCTGGTGGCAACATGCTATTGGGTGGTGGTCCCGCTTATGGGGTCAAATCAATACGTTCTAAGAAGAAATATTGGAAGATCAATCTCATCG